AAAGAGTTGTCCTTCTCCCCCCACCCCCTGTGAGTAACCCATTCTTCCGTTATGGTTTTAATATGCATTTGTAATTACCTTTACTAAATAGCACACCGTAAAGCTTTGGGTTATATATTAAATGTAAACTGAAAGGAATGTAAACATATGTATTGTTAATTATAAATAGATAAGTAATGGCATAATAGATACAAAAAGTCTTATTCAGATGTATCAGTCATTTTACATTATCCACAAATTGTCGCATGGTAGAGTAGATTTTTGTCTGAATATGTGAATAACTTGATTGCGTTTATCTTTTTACATATTTAATAAAAAAATATATGTTAAAATCTGTCTAGCTCTAGAGACTATTCAAAACATTCTAAAGTAATACTTTTCTGGTTTAAATACATATTTTTGTTTCATTAGTGACTGCATGTGGCAGCAGGAAGAAAAAGGCAGCTGCTCTAAAAAAAAAAAGTCCCTTATTCCGTGTGTGTAGGCAGGATCTGTTTCCCCAAGAGCTCAGCAACTGTATCCCCTTCTACAAATCAAAAAAGAAAATGCACGTACGTATGTGCATGTAAACAGAACGTTCTTCTTTGCGGTAAATGCTTTCTGATTTCAGAGTACTAAATCTCTTCTTGTATCTCAGTTTTGATACAGCAAAAGCAAAACTCGCAGCAGCCAGGAGGTGAGGAGAGTCCTGTAGGAAGGGCACTGAAGCTGCCAGTGGACTTCCCTTGCAATGGCCAAGTATTCAGGGATGACCCTTCAGTGCAGTACCTAAAAGCCACCTACATTTTAGATTAAAATGTTAGCATTCTGGATGAAAAGGAGGAAGCTTCATTGTAATTCTCACAGCTCTGATCTTGTGCAGCATGAGCAACGTTGCCGCAGGAGTTGCGGCTGATTCTCCAGGGCTTTGAGCCTTGGCTCGGGACCTCTTTCTGCCATGAGCTGAAGCGACCTGGTTGTGTGCCACCAGCGAGAGGTCAGCCTGGGCCCCTGCTGCCTCCCGGTACCCCTGGGGCTGAGCCCCTGCCCAGCCCCACTTTGGGAAGGCTTCTGGTAGAGGAGGGCAGGATGAGGCAGGGACCAGAGGAACCCATTTCCAACCCAGGCGCTCAAACCTGGGAGAGCAGCGCTAGTTTAGTTGCTTTTCGTAAGACTTAGGGGGGAGGCACGTCTTTGGGCTAGCATGAATGCTCAACGGTATAAAAAAGAAGTTATATATTTTCCAGTTCAAATAGTTGAAAACTTTCTGCCATAATGTTGTGACCAAAACCAATTGTTGTTAGACTGTTGGGTCATCTGCATACCGTTATCTGACTTTGCAAAATAAATCTGTGACCATACCACCCTATGAAAAAGCATTTTTATTCCCGTTCATTGAACCAGTTACCATCTAAGATGGATAACAATTCAGTATATACACTGTGCAATACATGATCTGTTTTCATACCTGTCTTTATAGAGATTGTAGTGACAAGTTGCTTTAAAAAAGAAAAAGAATGTTATTTGCTGTGTCTTCATATAGAACATGAAAAAGCTGGCCGGAGTTTAATTTCCTTTAAAAGTGATACTGTGTTTCTCTTCAGAAAGGTACAAGTGCAGGCAGGTTGTGGCAGTTCAAGTTTTATAATTTCATTTAATGAAATATTTCAAAATACTCCATTACAGTGCATCAAACTGTGCCACTTCTGTGACCCTTATTTCCAATTGTTTCATAAATAAGTGCAAGACAGAGGGAAAAGGGAAGCCTGACAACAGAGTTCCTCCAGTGCAATCACATTCAATCCAGAGGTATTTTTGTGTATTTTATTCTACTTCTTTTCTCATCAGGACTTCCTCCAGAAACTTTTGGTGGACGGGTTAAGTACAAACTGCTGAAATAGGTGAGACTTTTGTGGCAGCGTATCTGGCATCGGATGTAACACTGAACTTCAGCGAGCAGTGAGATTGCTGGGTGTGTGCCTACCTCAAACTCATCGTTCCCCTTCAAACACAGAACTGTCTTTTTTAGCAACCTGCATTAAATAAACCTTGCTGTGAGAGAGGGAGTCCTTGGGCAGTTAGGGAGTGCCTCCGTGGAGACCCCACACTCCCCTCGCATCATGCAGGGCCACCCCAGCAGCGAGGAGGAAGGCTGGAAGATGCCTCTCCTTGTTCCAGCTGCAGCCCTGGAGCTGGACTGCAGCGGTGCCGGAGGGCGCGGGAGCCTCCCTTCCCCGCAGGAGTCTCGGCAAAAGCTCCAAACCAACCTTAACAAGACAATCTGTGTTCTCTGCCTACCACGAACCTTCAGCTGCTGGAGCTGTGACTGTAGTACGATGTTCACTTGGGGGGTGGGACCCTCAGCATCCTTGTTTGGTAGGTGGAACGTGCATACTTTCAAACCGTAGGAAACTTTGCAAGTCGGTGAGGCATTTCTGCGTGGTGAAGAGGGGAAGGTGACGTGCAGGCTGATCCCCTGGTACCTGCGGTAAGGGTTGCCAGGGAAATCAGCCCTACCGACGTTGTGGTAGGGCAACTACCATAACAGGCGGTACAAACTTAGATTGAAGCCGTTCACGAAGATATGACTAGTCAGTGCTTGGCTGAAAATATTCATAGGAGGTACCGATGTAAGGGTACGTTAACTGGGGAAAAACTGATCAGGCTAGTGATAAAGCCAGAGAAATGGGCTAAGAACTGAAAAAGGTGAACTTAAGGCGAGGCAGCTCAACAGCTACGCTTCTGCCCTGCGTCTGGCAAGCGAGATAGTTAACTAGTTAATAAACATGCCAGTCTGTCAATCACATCCCTCTGTGCAAGAAATGTAATGCAACGCTTACCTTGGGGGAAGTGGACAGATTGTTTCATTAGTGCTTCAAGGCCACAAAGTCCCTCTGGCTAGGCAGCATATGAAAAGAGATGAAACTCAAATTCTTACTCCTTCCTCCAGGGCACGCAGAAAACCTACATATATTATAGATGAAGTGAGCAGCTTACATCTGCATGCAAATGCATAATATTTAGAAAAAAAAAAAATTCTTATCTCTTTTTTTTCGGTCATTATCTAGACCCGCAAGAATTTGTTCCAAGCACACAGGCAAATAATGATTTGTGTAGCATTTTGCACTCATAGATGATGTCTGACTAACTAGTTTCGCAGTGAAATATGAGAATCTTCAAAGGTTTGTTGGCCAAATTTATTCTCAACTCACGACCTTTGTAGGGTATATTGCTTGTTGCTACTGAAATATCAACAATATGCTTGTTACTGCCTAGAAAATAAGTATAAAGTCCAGCTGCTGCTCTACGGACTCTGCATTTCTGACAGATACAGGTCAGCTGAGACTCATCCTAACGCTGGGGAAAAAAAATCATATGTTTCAAAAACGCTTTACTGTACCCATAGCTTTCTGAGCTCATTCTCTTCTCTTCACGCATTCGTTTGACGTGAGAAGGCTGACTGTGCGTAAGCCCTTCAGGAGGTTGTATGGAAGAAATGAGTTGTGAGAAAATAAACATGGAAAATGGAGGGGGCATAGCTGTCTGAGTGGGAAGGACATACAGGGAGGGTTTGCATCGCTAGGGTCGTTGGGCAAAACCAGTGCTGGGTATAAACCATCAAGGATCTCATGTAACCCAGCATGGATTTATCCAGGACTTTGGACAAAGCGGCAAGGAGGAGGAAGACAAAAGCTTCAGAGGGTAGTAACACGGCATTAGTGAAGAGAATAAATATTAGCAGCAGAACAACTTTGTAAACCCTTCTCTGCTAGACAGGAATCTTCCTCTGAGATGAAGCATCTTGCTGCATAGCTCCTTGTCGCAGTGGTTCGGATATCCAGACCAGTCTATTCTTTGGTTATTTTAATCAGATTAATTCCAACTGTTTATCACATCAGAAGAGTTGCGAATCTCCACGTCAAGTGTTACAGTCTGATCATAGTGCAGGTGTTCACTCTTGGACACGTTTCTTCAGTGAGAAGATATAAATGTTGAAGTGCTTACTCAGCTGCCTCCCCTAAAGAGAAATCACGGAGATTAGCAACCAGTTTTGTACGTGCTTCACAACTCACCGTCTCTCTTCCCCCGGGACCCAGCCACAGTCCTCACATACTTGGGGACCTACGGGTACGTGGGGACCTACGGGTACATAGGGACCTACAAGTATTCAAGCGAGAGAGCTGTGGTCTTTACATTCCTCTTGCAGCACAGCGATGGGAAGTTCAGCCACTACAGACCAGATCCACAGATGTCATAAACTGTGACGGGGCTGGGCCCCCTCGGTCAGTGGTGAATTCTGACCAGGTATTTCCATTCTGACCTCCGCTGACTGGCCCGTATTGATGCTGGGGTAAAATCGACTGTGATGCCAGTGTCTGCTGACAAAAGGCTTCTCTCAAAGAAAAATATCCCAATGGTGTAGCTTAAATAAAAGAATACTGACCAGCTCCCTGTGAAATGACATCTTTGCTGTGCAAGGTCTTTTAGCTAAAAGCAAACCCCTGTTAAGACACTTTCCTAAGGATTATTTGACAATACTCTTTAGAAAGACGGCATTAACTGAGGCAAAATGAATTTAAGCAGTAATTCAGATGACAGTAAATGACAAAACTGATATCTAGCAGAGACAAAAATGCACTGGTAAAACTGAATGAACTGGAAAACCATTCATGTCTCCAGCTTGAGAGATGCTAACAGAGAGCCAAGAAAAGGTTAGAAACTGGGACAGCTATTTTGCTTGCAGATTCAAAGCAAAGCTAACCTTATTTTCTGAATTCTATTCATGTCACTTTGCATTTTACCTTCCTATTTTTGCAATGAAGTCACCTCAGCAAGAAGAAAGGGGAAAAAAGGGGTGGGAACATTCACGCCACGTGGGTCGACTGCTGCATCAAACCAGTCCATAAATATTCTCATTGTGATGGGTTTAAAGCCGAAACCATTCTGCTAACATTGGAATAATTCAAGTCACTGAAGTTGCTGCACGTGCGAAAAGGCACTGCCTGCAGCAAACTGACTTTTTTTTTTAACTTTACACTAAATAAAACAATACACAGGGAAAAAAAAAGAAAAAACAACCCTGTAACTGAACATTCAGGCTCCTGGAGACTGCCCCAACTAGGCAGCCCAGACACCCTTCCCAGAGCCCATCTCCCTCCCCGTCCCAGCGCCTCTCTCCCACGGCCACTTTGGAGGTGCCCACTCACCACGCAGACCCCGTAGTGCACGTGGGTGGCCGTGACCAGCGCAGTGAAGCCGATGAGCACCGCTTCTTCCATCCAGCCCAGCAGCCCGGAGATGGCCGCGTAGACCACCAACGCCAGCGGGAAGAGGAACCAGTGGAACAGCTCCGGCCGGGTGCTGCTCATCTGGCAGACGATCACCTTGCACTGTCGGAGCAAGAGGTGCCAGGTGAGAAGCGCTGGGTCAGCCCAAGGGTCTAAGCAAAAGAGCGCCCATTTTCTCTGCGGGTTGCTTTTGATGAGGCGAAAACAAGGCTAGAGTTCAAAGTGGGGCTTGTTTCTGGTGAGAAGACTACTATAGATAGATACACCTTTGTGCCTCGCTGTCTGTGAGCCTTCAAGGACTTTATTACAAGTAATCTAAAATACACACTTCTTTTCTGGAGACAGTGTTTTGACATGCTTCGCTTTATAAGCCGAAGCACATCTTCACAATAGGAGAGGTTGTTTGACATGTGCTTTCACACAGGCTCGTAAAGTTGCGATCCCAAATCAAATGTGCCACCACTTAATTGCTGGGAGAGCGCACTGGTATTTTAATGACAAGGCATGACAGAGATATATTCTGGTTCATTGTATAGAAGGGAGGGGAGGGAAGGTAAGACATGCCACTTTTAAAACCTGTTTTTCTTTTCTAGCACTCCTTCATGTACTAAAACACCATTTTCTTGGCTCGATCATGGCAGTGGACTCCCTGGAGATGTAGCTGGGGGCCCAGAGAAAGGGATCCCACTCAGAATGGCAGAAAAAAATGAATATATGGTACATACTTTAACTGAAAGCAATTAGCTTAATTTTACTGAGTTCTTGAAACGCAATGAGATGAACTCACTTGAAATTCAGCTTTTTAAAACCAGTTAAGCACACCTAAGTGTTTTACCTGGTTTAGATTCCTTAAGAAATGTGTCTCATACATCATGCCCTTTGCAAAACAAAAAAAAAGGAATTTAGGCACATCTGAAATATTTTATCGATTTAAGTTTCACTCAAAATTTAAATGTGGTTAAAAATAGATTTTATGTATCCTGAAAACAGTAGAAGAAAGAAAAAGTCATTCCCTGTGCAGTGCCTGAAATCCTACAACAGCAGCAGTAAGGGTCTGACCATAGGGGAAAGATACTGGCTTTACTGGCCGTGCTGTGGAAGCTGAAGAATCGAAAAGTAAACTATGAAAAAATAATTAACTTTCAATAATGCAAGAAGTAAGCATTTGTACCTAATGTAAATATCTTTGCTTACAATGCATTATCAGTATTGATTATGAATGTTTTGAGTAACACTAGTTTTATGAGTCCTTTGGGAATCATGCCAGAGGGTATCAGAAACTGCTAAAGCAATCTACATGCTATGATTTTTCTGGCTGAATAATTGCACCTGTCCAGAGGTTGGCTTTCACATTGCTTTAAACCATTATTACACCATGTTAAGTACGGTACTCAATTTTTTCATAAAGATTGCTTATTAATATTTGGAGCAATTCACCTTCAGTATATCACAGGACTGCAAAATGGACTATGCGTTGCACTCCTCCCTCAATTCCTTATTCCCCCTGGTCCTGAAGCACTGACTCACACTACAAGTGAGGCAAAACCAGCGTTAGGAGATGAAAGCGCTGGAGTCTGGAAAGGCCGACTGGAAAGAAAAGGTAAGGCTATGGGACTATGCCCTGTGCTCTTCCATCCCCCTCTCCTACATCGTGCAATGCTGCCCTGGCCCTGCTGAATTTAAACTCTAGCACCTGTGGTTTGTACCCCTGGGTAGGTCCTTAGCATCTTCTCTCTCTTCCCACCTCCCCTGGGGGGTTTCTCATGGAGCATGTCCCGAGTCGACATGGCCCCTGCCCATCAGCCAGCCACCACGTTGGCCACTGCGCTCCTGCTACGGGGATGGCTGACGATCCCCTCCTCCTGGGCTCAAACACACGCCTCTGGGGGCTTCCTAAGCGGGAGCTGTGACAGTTGTGCTCTGCGGTGAGGTCCTCAGACCTGGATACTGCCGAGACTTGCCCTACGAGCAGATCGCAAGGCAAGGTCTGAGCTTCTCGGCAAGAGGGGTGGTCAACCCATAGGCAGTCCTGCTGTCGGCCATGGGGACTGGGAAAAGAAGTCTTCCTCTCATGGCTAAGCAGCTTTCCTTTTTTAGGCCTTGGAGGCCTTTTTTCCTTAGTTTAGCCAAAACTGGTAGAAATGGCCCATCTTTCTGCCTGTTCCCAAGAGGCTGTCACCT